GCCCGCCCGATCCGAGGATACATCACAAATCTCTACAATTTACCTGTCCTATCCCAGTTCGTTCTGTGCCGCAATTTCCACTTCCAGGATACCCACATGAACCTATCAAAATCGAATCTTCGCTGCCATTAGCAATCATTCATTCACCAAGCATAATTTTGAAGCTTCAAAAAAAGTTTTTAATTAACTAACCCGCGTGAAGAAAATGGAAAGAAATCAAAGAGTCTTACTCATACTCTGCGCAATCTATGGTTTATGGAATATTGGTACTCAATGGACAACCACGCTTCTCTCATTCCTTCAGTGGGATACCATTCATGTAAGGGCTTTCCAATTTTTTTTTGCGCTTTAAATAGATCTTTGCGAAATCATGCTCAGATTTTTTATTCAAATCGTCGCGAATTTTGCTTCGAAAACGAAATACGTTTTTCCAAAAAAAATTCCAAAAAACATCACTAAATCAGAGCAAAAATAGTCCCCTATCTTCCCAGCTTACAGTTTCTGAAAATCCGTGAAATTAAAAATCCTGGGGTTTTCGAAAAGATCGTTCAAATAAGCAAAAGAAGACATCGACAGAGCTGCTATTCGATCCTTCCTAGATCAGAAGTGCATGAAAGATTTTTACTCTCCCCGATTCTTTAAAGAAATTCATTTTGTAAGGCCAAAAATTGAGATTTAAAGCCTTCAATATGACTTTTTGGAATTTTTGACATTTTTGGGCTAAACTTGAATTTCGAAAAAAAAAATTGATAGATCTCGAAAATCCTGTTCTGCAGTTAAATAGTACTACACAGCAATAAGACAATTAACTGCCTAAGTGTCCCAATTTACTGACGACAAAAAAGTGTTTTTTCATAAAACGAGCCAAATTTGTTCATGAAAAAAAAATCAACAAAAATCCAAAAAAACTCGAATCATCAAGAAGGTTTAATTTTCCTCAAATCACCGTCATTATGAAACTCAAAAAGCAGAGGGTGCTCAATTACACTCCATAAATCTTGCGCAACAAAACGGACGATACAAGTGTGTCTGGTAACCTTTTTTTCTGGATACATACATCGAACAAGCGGTGGGTACTAACTGAAGGATGTGAATCGAAGGATCTGGTATAGCTGTGCTTGGTGTAGAAGCATACATGTGACATCAATAACATGGGATAGACTGCCAAGGTGGTCTTAACACATTTCTGGCATATGCCTTTTCACAAAAATTTACTAACAGAGACTTTTGTCAGATGAGTGCCTTGCCAGCTGATACGAAATCCGCTACATGAAATATACTGGTTGATGCTTCGTATCAATAGCAATCACTCGAATTACCCTCTTCTACATATTTAGCTGCATTTTCACGAAATCTCAAGCCTCAACAGCATGAATTCAAAATGGAGACTGTTATTAGAAAAAAATTTTTAGGTGATGACCATAGTGGACATTGGCTACATTCAATCATTTGGCAGTTTTTGTAATGCTTTCGGTGCACTTGCTGTTGGACAGGTAAACTATGTGTCTTTTTTTTTTTCAAAATAATCTACTAGTACTTATTATATGAAAAACACTATAAAATTCCCAGAAAAAATCTGATTTTTTGAAAAAAAAATCCCCTCTTTTCCCTTCCAGCGTAATTCTTAGTTCAATTTTTGAATAAACTCTCATGAAAAGCACTTGTCGGCAGCCTTGAAAGTGAAGGGCGTTACTGTTAATGTGCCACTGTTCGGGTCCCTACGGTATACTTATGCCTCTCACAACATAAATATGAACGGGATTTCGATATCATCTTGAAGGCAATAGCTTTCATAAATATGCAACCTGCTGGTCAAAACCCTCCCATATTTACCACAGATGTGACTCTTCTGACGGCTGTTTAGAAGCAAGCTGGTGACGGTTAGGGTTTCCTAGTGTACGCCAGTATCCTTTGATCATCGAAACGAACAGACGAATCGTATAACTGCTGTCCTCAACCTCCAACGCGACAGCAGCGCTACTTTGAGGTGCACCGTACTCAGTAGTAGAAGAAGGTTAATGAAAATGAAACAAAAATTAAGGAAAATAAAAATAATTTTTGTAAAATCAAGAGAAATAATTTTCAGCTTGCCGATACAACCGGACCCAAAACGATGTTTTTATTTGCGTCAGTTATCGTATCTATCTACTATTCCGCGTTAGCATTCGCTAGATGCTGGTACTCGTTCTTCTTTCTACAGGTAATTCACAAACTAAAACAAGTACTCCACCGAAAACATCTGCAAAAAGGCTTTCAAAAAATCTCAAAAAAAAAAAATTCAAATTTTTGAATATACATTTCAAAAGCCTAAACTAGAAACAGTACTTTTCAAAAAAATTTGCAAAAAGTTTTGAACACAAGCACATTTTTGAATTCATAAAACTGAAAAACTCCAAAACAGATTTTTGGAAACAAATGCATGTTTCTGAATTAAAAACAGCCCAAAAAAACTGAGATAAAAACAAACTCATCCGGAAAAAAACTGCACAGTTTCGGAGTGGTACACTCTTGAATTCATAACAGTTCATGGAGTAAAACATTATTTCCAAAGCAAAAAATCTCGGTATAATTTAGTATGCGAGAATAGTTTATGAAACTAAATTAAAAAAAAATTTTTTTCAAAAGAATGTGAAGAAAGTCTTCGAAAAATTTTCAAAAAGATATGCAAATTTTTGAAATTTGAAACAGTCTGCTGGGAAAGTTGAGTTTGTTGAACT